CTCACTCTCACTCTCACTCTCACTCTCACTCTCACTCTCACTCCCACTCCCACTCCCACCCCCACACACACACACACACCCACACACACACACACCCACCCACCCACCCACACACACACACACACACACGCACACACACACACACACTCATGCAAAGTGCCGTGCAGCTGGCAGGACTCGTGCGGATGGCCCACGTCTCCCAGAGCACATTGTTTCGCCAGCGTCTTCATGCTGCCATCAAGCTGTTGGCCCAGCAAGCCGAGCGACATGAGGTTGCAAGTTTGCCGGACACAATCGTAGCAGGCATCAATGACAATCGGAAGAAGTTGAGCATCTGTGCATCGGATCTCACTGATGCACAGCAGGACCAGCTGCTGGGCATGCTGAACCATCGATGGAGTGAGCCTCTCACTGATGGCAAGTTGCAGCACTGGTGTGCTCCGGGCTGCTGTTCCAGCTTGCCAGAGATGCGCGCAAAGATGGAGGAGGCATTGATGTCATCTCTGGGAAATGGCTTTGAGGTTCCACTTCTCTACAGGTGGAAACACTTTGAACCGGCGGTCGACTATACTCTACGTAATACAGCAATGCATGGCTTGCTTGCACACATTTGGCCCCAATGCATGCACAGCAAGCAAGACGACATATTGCTTGAGCAGGTCGTTGATGATGATGCGCCTGATTTAGACCCAAGCATCAAACAACAGGTACGGTTGACTCGTGTTTATAGATTGCTCTGTCAGCCAGATACTTTGGCTAAGCTGGCACAGTGTGTTGTCCTGACACGCCCACTGGCTGCCTTTATGGATCGTGCAAGTCTGGTGGACACGGTGCGTCATAGGTTCTACTTGCGTGTGCGAGGATTGAACCCTCCCAGCAACTGCCCATATGGGGAGGAAGAGCTTCGTTCCATGAATCTGGATTTGCTCACTGGCGAACGTGGCCTTGAAGTCGTGCAGCAGTATTACCACTTGCTGCTTTCAGAACCAGAGTCAGCTGATTGGTTTCCAGAGTTTGATCTCCCCTACACAAAGTGCATTCTTCTGATCTTCACCACTATGTGTGATTCGTGGCGTCGCCTTGTCTTGCCCTACCAGTCTATTACATCATCCTGCCTACGCATTGCTTCCATGGGTAGTCAGGAAGGCCTCGAATTCTTGTGGCGTGAACAGCAGAAGGTGGGTGAATGCATCCTTTGCAAGGACCAGCACTTTGCGCAGGCAGATTTTTACACTGTCCTTGTCTAGCATTGCCTAGGTTGTCCCTCCATGATGATTCATGACAAGGTAGCCCGTAGGCAAGTTACAGCTCAATGTTCAAACTTTGAAGCTTGCAATAAAATATCCCATCTCCCCTTGCCAGGTATTGGTCAAACAATTGTTTGAGCCGGGAATGACGGCTGATGACAGGGAGGCTCGGTATGCCAGCATACAGAACATGATCCGGGACCTTTTGTTGCACATCCCAGCATCCTCTGTAGAAGTCGAGAAGCAGCATGCCGGCGTGCAAATCGAAAGTGACACTCGGCGTGCTGGGGCGAAAAGACCCACGAACTTGCAACGTGACAGCTACATTCTTTCGACGATGCAAGATCACGCAGCGACCCAACAAGCAGTTGAAGCTGAGTGCTTCGGGGCTGGCAAGCGCAAGGTCAATCTGCTCTTGCGGCGTGCACGCCTGTTGGACACAACCGCACCTGCAGCAGGCCTACGAAAAACAAGGGCCCGCTTCACATCCAAAGGCACCGTGAAACGTCGCAACGGGTTATTGGGTGGCCTCCTGCCATAGTCTCAGTCTGTCTGCTCATGTTCTGTAATTTGGTCCGGTCTAAGCTGGACTGCTGCGGGCCGGCCATGTTAGCTTAGGTCGGTTCGATGTGGACAAGTTCAGCAAGGACCAGCCAAGACACGGAAGGTGAGTGCCTACAACGCTTTCCAGCAGTCTTGCAAGCGACATGGCTCCACTGTTTGCGATTGTGTGTGGTGCGTAAGAGTAAGAGTAACAGATGTCGCCAAGGAAGGTAGGGCCCTGTAGATGCTGTAGTATAGTAATAACTTACTTACCCTAAGGTTCCAAGGCTTTTTCTTAAATCAATACTTTTGATCATTACGGGAGGTTGAGGTAGTTAGGTAGTGTCTAGTGTCAGTTAGAGTTAGAGAGTTAGAGACTTAGAGAGTTCGAATATCACCAGCAGGGCCGAGTATCGGAGTCACCGCATTGGGAAAGATGGAGCCAACTCACCTCACAAAGAAATTGCGGCACGATGGAGAGCTCTCAGTCCCAGGGATAAGGCGAGATTCAAGGTCCGTGCCGAAGAGATGCAGGCGCAGCGTGAGCAGCTGATGAAAGAGCCGCTCAGCCGGAGGAAGCCCGATTCACTAGAGTTGACAAAAGCACAGGTGCAACGCTTGGGAAACAAACGGCTGGACTCCACTTTGCAGCAAGTGTCGGACCATGATGTGTGGAAAAAAGGCTTAGGCCTTTGGGACCATGTCTCTGCCTTACGCAAGGACCATGTTCTACCCTTGGCTGATGATGCGACGGCCAGGTTTCAGAGTATGTTTTCTTATGACGGGGTTGTGACTCCGAATGGTGCAATTCCCTCCTACGAGCATCCGTGTGTTTGCCACGGCGGTGGTGTGTGCCGCCGGCACGACCTGTACGAGCATGTTGCCCGTATCACAACCCAGTTTGACAGCATCCTGGTGCAGCACAAGCTTGCCGTTTCTGAGCCCCTGTTGCTGTGCGTCGCGCCAGAAGCTGCATTGAGTGACACCGAGGACCCAGAGCCATCATGGCTGATGATGGGATGTGTGAGCCGTAGGCCCGTCGTCCATTATGTCCTGCCCCTTTGGAAGAGTGGTCCGTGCTCCCTGCAACTGCTTCTAGATCGTGGACTGCCCAAGATATCCACCGTGCACCGGATTGTGTTGAGCTTGCTTCAACAGCACGTTGCCTCTGGTGGGGCTGCAGATGGTTTTGCTGCTGATGCTCCCTGACGGGATTTTCAGGATCATCCATCGGATTATCAGATTAGCGGAGTATCACTCTAGACTCTAGCAAAATCAGCAGATGGTCTGCAGATGATTGCTACTGCTAATGAAGATCAGTTAAGTTACAATTTACATAACACAGGCGGCTTGTAGGTTCGTCATCGTTCATGCCTGAGGTCAACATCTATGCATCTCAACAGCTGACGTTCGGACATGAGGGTGGCAACTTTCTGGTGAACTTACCACGAGACGTCTCATATCGTGCTGCACTTGGCAGACAGCACCGTCTGGCCGCCAAGCACCAGCAGAGCGTCGCAGAAAGGGCAAACTTCCGTTCGGATTGGATGCGATGGTGGCAGAGATGCATCCCCCCGCTGTGCGGGCAGTCCCTGTTGCACGGAAAGGCAAAGACAAGTCCAGCTCTGCAGGCAGCGCACCGGCGCCTGCAAAGCGCGCTGCTGCTGATGATGATGAAAATGCTGGGACAGCGGATGTCGAGCTGTTTGAGAATTTGTTCGTGGAGGACTCATTTCCTACTTTGGAGGATCTTGCCAAGCCTTTGAGCTCGACCCCATGGTAGCACTTCAGTTCCTTCTTGTGTCCAGAGTTTTGTTGGCTCAGTTGAATGCTAATTCATCTTGTGACTTGCAACCCCAGGAGCAGCAGCAGCAGCACCGAGGCACACCCGTTGGTGTTACCGGAGGCCGCCCAGCAAGAGCTGCATGCTGCTATGCAGGCAGCAGATGTGAGAACAAGCGATGCTCCTGTACTCCCGACTGCGGGCCCTGTGCGTGGAGGCTCCCAGCATTCAAAGGCGCCGGCCCCGAAAGCAAGTCGTTTCCATGATGACTGTGGTGTTCAGGGATTTTCGTATGTGCAGCGCAATGGCAGCAAATGCTACTTTTGCGAGCTTCCTTTGGAAAAGGGATCTCCCAAGCTTGTATTTGCTCATCACAGAAGCAAGCCGGCCCGGTCCATTCACCCGGGGTGCGTCTTTTCGATTGATGCCTCGTTGAAACAGAATTCATATGAAGCATTGCGGAAACAGGTTGTACAGGGCGGGCTCGACGCAGATGCAAGAGCAGTCTGACAGAATGCTATGGACATTCTCCAGCCAACTGCAGGGCTTTCTTAGCTGTGCAATGAGTGGCGTAGGCGTTATCATACGAACTGCTGACTTGCCAGACAGCTCTCTACAGACTCCACAAAATTACTTTGACAGGTTAGGTTCGTATAGATTTGGCGGGGTAGATGTCCTGTTCCTGGGACCAAGAGTACATGCAAGTATTTCGGCATGGCGCTCACTCTTGATTCTTGTCTCACTGTGCACGTGAAGTGAAGCAGATCTGGGATCGGGAGGAAAATTGAGATTGGCCTGGTCGGTCATTGTCATTGCCAAGTCATTGCTGTGTCATACTGAATATCGATTGTTGAGCGCTGCCTCCAGAGACAAAGTCCACCTAGAGAGTCTTTCCGTGTGCTGATTTCCCCTGCTGCCGCAGACTCCACTGGACTTTGTCTTGCATGGGTGGCTTCCTGCAGCTGATGGTCGAGGTCCTGCCGAGCCTGTGGGATTAACTCTAATTCCGAACTATGTGTTGCGTGTCTTCAAGCTGCGGATCCTTCGCTTTCCAAGTTGTCTGTTACCTTATGAATAGTGTTTTTTTTCGCGCGCTTCACGCTTCATCTGTCCTGTGTCCTGTGGATTAAGCTTGACTGGCTTCGGACATCTTCGGTGAAGGTCTGGTCTAGTGCACCTACGTGTGGACAGCTGAGGAGCTCCGACTTCGGCATTCCACAGCTACGAACTCGCCTGTACATTTTGATGCTCAGAACTACTGGTGATGCTTCTGATGTCACTGAGCAGGGTTGCCGCCCTCCACGTATCGATGAGCAGTCGCTGGAGCTTGTTGTGCTGCGTAGCGAGTGTGTCCCGTAGGTTTCGAGTGCGAGCGGGTCGTTCGCAGTCCATGAGATTTCACATGTTGTAGCAGCTTAGGAAATAAGAAATAAGTTAATAAGCGAGTTTGATGTGGCCCCAGGACCATGCGGGTGCACTGATCGACCTCTTTGCGCAGTCGGTGCGGGGCAGCGAGGAGATGTGGGAACCTGGCTGCAGTGGCTTCTCGGTCTGGGATGCTATGGCGTACGTAGACCATTCCTATCATGACTGGGAGACAGATGATGAGCAGGCCAGGCCAGGCAGTCAGGTTAAGCCCGTGGTTACTTCTTCATAACATTAGTCAGAATCAGAATGCTGCTGTTATGTCGAACGTTATACATCATCATTATTATTATATATGATTATGGATAATTTACAGAGCGACTAATAATATCATTACTAAATCAGTTCAGTCAACCGAGGGGGTCTTAGTGGGGTAGGCGGTGGTTTGAGGGAGATTACAGACATTGATTATTTGGATATAATCGTAGCTAGAAACAGAAATAGAAACTACCTAAATTCGTAGGTTACACTTGAACTTGTAAGTTACAAGTTCTAAACTTATTATAAATTATAATTTATAATAAATCAACAATTTCAACTAATCTCAGCTGATGAATGTAGCTGTCAGTGTGGGTTCGGGTTTTCCATTTTGACTGGACTGGATTGGCCCTGCCCTGCCCTGCCCTGCCTGCCCTGCCCTGCCTGCCCTGCCCTGCCTGCTCTGCCCGCGGCCTGATACTTCCTCTTAGAGGACTGACTGGCAGGACCCCACACGCGCCTTGAGATGCCCTTGTGGAGCCTCTTAGAGGCCTGGCCGGACCCCACGCGCGCTTTGGGATGCCCCTCTGGAGCCTCTTAGAGGGCCGGACCCCACGTGCGCCTTGGATGCCCGCCTCAGATTGCTGGTTCACGCTGATCACTGATCCTGGTTTGTCCCTGCCTTGCCCTGCCTTGCCCGACCTGCCCTGCCCTGCCCCCCCTGCCCCCTGCCCTCCCCCCTCCCCTGCCCTGCGTGTTTGCTTGTTTGGTGAACATTACAAGCATACAGAAAGCATGCTGTGCTGGCTCTCGACCACTCTCGACCACTCTCGACCACTCTCGACCACTCTCGACCGCTCTCGACCGCTCTCGACCGCTCTCGACCGGCCTCGACCAAGCCGCAAAACCATCATATTCTGTGCTTGGTCGAGACCAGTCGAGAGCGGTCGAGAGCGGTCGAGAGTGGTCGAGAGTGGTCGAGAGAGAGTGGTCGAGAGCCATCACAACATGCTTTGTGTATGCTTAGTGTATGCTTATAATGTGTGAGAAGGAGGGCCTGGGGGGGGGTTGGGCGGGAGGGGGAGGGGGGGGAGGGGGAGGGG